AGTTTGAACATAATCACAATGAACATCATCCATGTGAATCTTTTGAAGTCTAATGGAGGCAAAGGACTCCTTGCATGACAAAGCTTCACAATGATATCTAACAACAATGAAATCAATAAGAATGTGTTTGTTACTGAGGTGGAATACGAACTGGCGATCTGCAGGCATTAAGACTAATTAAGAGTTAGCAAGGTGAGATAGTTCAGTGAAACATGCATTAACAAACCCAGGTGATGTGATTTGTAATAACAAATTTGACTTTGGTGAATAGATGGTGGTGGTTAAGAGACAAGAAGCAATTCAAACTCAGATTCCGCTTTTTGGCTGATGTAATCATATTTAAACTCAGTTTGAATTGCTGACAAAGCAAATAATTCAAACTTGAAATGCTTAATTTGAAGTATCAACTGTACAAGGGCATCCGAGAATGTCCATTGATTCCAGTTTGAATCTGAATCAAACCGAAACCCAAGTAAAATAGTAGTTCAAACCTGGACTCAAAACAGTACTGGGCCTATTGAACCCATTTGGCATCTTTGGGCCAACATCATCATTAGAGCCGAATGTAACTAAACAGTGTTCGCAAAAATGTACCTTATCAGACAAGACACCAGCACAAAATGACTTGCATTAACGAATGTGGTTATAAGGGTTGTTATTAACAAAGTACAAAAAAGGTGGCTTGCATGCTCATGAATATACACGCACAAGAAGGGCATAACAAGCAGTTCTGCAGTTCGAAAATGATGCAACGGGATCCAGACGAAGAGGTAGCGAAACTGTGAAACAGGAGGAATACGACAGAACAGGGACAAGTCTTGATCATACGATAGGATAACGCCGCTCACCAGAGCAGCTACTAGAAGTGATGTATGCTATACCGAAACCGAACCTTCGGGTTTTATCCACCATAAGACTGCCCCGGTGACCACGCTGAGAACGAGCAGACCTACGGCTGCCAATAGATTGAAGTGTGACTGACAAAGGTTGTGTCAACCCAGCGGAACAGAAGATAAGTAAACGGGACGACGTACCAGGTCTTTGGGCGGTGACCGCGTCTGTGAGTCGGTTGCTGTCCCAGACGCATCGTCTGGGGACGAAAGCGGATGGTTCAGAACTGACAACTCTGGGGTGATCAGAAATGGCATACCCTTGAGACTCCTTGTCGGCTCATCCTTGCCTGCAGCTGTCGCCCTGTCACTGGCCGCATGCGATTCTGTGTTGCTGATGCTCAAGTCATCAGTGGTCCAAGGCAAGCGCCGCAGCCCGAGTGAGTGAGATTCGGTGGTGTCGCCTGAGATCGACGATGCCGACGAGCCTACCTCCACGCCAGCAGCCATGGAGGCAGACCGCGAGCGCGAGCGGCCTCTTGACGAGCTGCTGCGTTTTCGCCTCTGTCGTGGGCGCGTCGACTCTGCTGACAGGCTGCGCGGGCTAGGGGGAGTAACGAGGCCGCCGCTGTGGGTAAGCTTTCCGTTTCTGTTCAGAAAGGAATGTTGTTGCACAGGCAGCGCAGCTAGAGTCCCGAGCATCGACTCGACCTTCGAAACGTTGCTGCCGACGCCATCCTCGACGACCCGGATGCGCGTCTCCCACTCGTCTTTCGCGCAGCGCAGGCGCTCCCGCTCCTCGGTCCACTCTTCCTGCATGTTGCTCCAGCGGCCTTCGACGTGCTTTTTCCACTCGTTCACCATTTCCGTCAGCGACTCCCGCGTCCTCTGCTCGGCCTCCTGCGCTGCTGAGTCGGGGAGTTGCTCCGAGCGCATGGCCTCAGCTAGTTGCTCGGTGGCTTCAGTCTGCACCTGAACCTGTGAGTGAGTGTCATGCACGAGACTCTCCAGCGAGGCGACCTTCGACTCTAGCAAGGAGATGGTCGATTGTGCAACCGAATGCTGCGCCTCAAGAGAGCGCGAGAGCTCGAGCGCAGACTCCAATTGCTTCGAGAGTGTCGTTAGCTGCTCGCTGATATTGTCGGGGACCGCAGCGGGTATAGGGACTGGCGGGGCCGCGGGCGGAGGAGACGGCGACCGAGTGCGTTGCTGCGGCTCGTATCTGCTGTGATCGTGGTCGTGATCATAGTCATCGTCAGACATACCCATGCCCGTTGGCTCTGGCGTGCGCGGACGACCCAGCTCATCCCTCCGCCTCCGCCGCTGCTCCTCTTCCTCCTCCGCGGCCAACTGCTCCTCGTCCTCCTCGTCGACCCGGTCGAGCTCGTGCGGGACGATCGTCGAAACACTGCGTGCATCGTCGTCGTCATCGGACATATAATGCTGATCATGTGCCATGTTATCGTCGCGCCCGTATTGGTGGTGGCGTCCGCTGGGACTGCCGCTGCGTCCGCGAGACGTGTCCATCTCGCGCTTGCGCTCCTCCATGAGCTCGCGCAGGAAGCCGACTTCGTGCTGGATCGCTGCGTGCTCGGCGAGCATCGTCTCAAGGGAGCAAATTTTGTCTACGTGGCTTGCGAGAGACATTTGAGTCTCGCGCAGTTGTGACTGGAGTTCCAATAGTGCTGAACCCGAGTCTGATGGTGACGGCGCCGCCGGTGCCTGTTGTTGTTCAGATTCTTGCTGCTGCTGCTGGGACTGAGGAGGCATTACTGGTGGGAGATTCGAAGGATGCGGGGGGAGATTCGGTGGCTGCGAGCGGCCTACAGTGAGGAAAGAGCAAAATCATACATCTATGTGACGCACCAGGTTGCCACCAAGGGTATCATGAAGCTCGTTCATCGCACTCGTCAGCGAATGCAGCTCGGCGCCCGTATCACGGCTCTTCTGCAGCTCGCCCTGCAGGCGGCTCAGGATGTGGTCAAATGTGAGCCCGCTCTTGCCAGGCGCACGCATGTTCCCGCCGCGGTCCCCGAGCCCGATGAGGCCCTGCTGGAGCGACGGGCGGCGCTGCTGCCCGGGCGCATTGGGCGGCTGGCCTGGTGCGAAGCTGAACGCACCCGCTGCAGGGGGCGCACCGCCGCCCGCGCCGACCCCGTATGAGGCGGGGCCCGCCTGCGCCTCCGCGCGCGCAGCGGCCTGCGCCTCCTGCTCGGTGAAGACGCACACGACGTGCGCAGCGACCTTGTGGTGTATGATCGTCTTGTTGTCCTCGCCGACGATGTCGATGCCGAATTCCTGCGCTGCAGCGTGAGGCGGGCGCGGCGGGCGGGGAGAGCGTGGAGATACGCACCACGATGTCGTCCGACTTGAGCTCGAAAGGCTCGGACTTGATGCCCTCGGGGCTGAGGCGCTCGCCGTTGATGAACATGCCGTTCGAGCCCTTCACGTCCTTGATGAAAACTCGTGAGAAAGATGACTGGACAAAGCGTGCGACAGACTTACGAGAAGCACTGGTCACCAAGCTTCTTACCTTGAGGCAGAGACTCTCCGGTAAGCGCAGCCTGGTCGATCGAGACGTTGATAGCCTCAGTAAGACGACAGTCGGCAGGAACGATGTCACCAATCTTGAACGAGATCATGTCACCAGGAACGAGGTCGGCGGACTCGATCTCGCTCCACGAACCGTTACGCTTGACCTTGGCTTTGGGAGCAAGCGAGTCCATGAGAGCCTTGACAGCGTTACCAGCATTACGTTCTTCATAGAAACCGATGGCCGAGTTAATGAGCAACAATGTGATGATACCAATGAAATCTTCCCAGTCAGGCGGCATGTGCTCTCCGTTTGACAGGACGATGGCAACAAGAGCAGCTCCCTCCATGACCCAGGGACAAGGGGTTCCACATAAAGCTCAGGAACTGTTCAGGTCAAGTTATTACGACACAATGACGCGTGAAAGGAACATGCACACCTGAAGGAAGGCATTCTGCTCTTCAGATTCGAGCCTGTTAGGGCCGAATAGCTCGAGACGCCGCTGAACTTCCTCAGCCGATAGACCATCTTCACTGCACTGTAACAACTTGAAAACGTCCTCGACGACGATCGTCTCGAGGTTGACCTTCTCCTTGTCATAGAGATCCTCCGCACGCAATTGGATTTGCGACATATCAACCTTGGCGTCTGAACACGGAAGTTAGAAACTCAAACCCGCTCTGTAATAAAAGAAGTAGCATACGTGTAGCTTTTGCCTCCTCATGACCATTAAACTGTCTGCACGGACGACGTGTACGGTAAACTCATGTTTACTCGGCAGTCATACACAATCGACGCCATGCGCGCAACGGCAGGAATGTTCCACATCACGTCCGCACCCCGATCTTAGCCTGCTAGTGTCGTTGTGGCCTCAGATGACGAGCATGACCTGCAGCCTTCACGGCAACGCGCCGAGCGGGCTGACCACAGGTGGGGTTGAAACGTGCTGAAGATGGCGGGGGATAGAGTAAGAGTCAGGGAGAAAGGGGGCGCGTGGGGGTGGATTGCGCGGGCATGGAGGGAGCGGGTAGACTCTTGTGGCGACCAGGGATGCACTTGCGAATGGCGGGGTGCAGCGAGCCACATACTGGATTGGTGTGGCATCGTGTTGGTGAGGGGGACGGCGGGTGAATGGTTCTTCGTAGACATGATAGGCGATACGGTGATGAATGGGAAGGGTGCGCGAAGTCACAAACGCGAGTGGCTAGGGCGCGGTATTACGGAGGTAGCGGGGTGACGGCGTCAGCGTTGGCGGCGTGTGCGAGTCGACAGACTCGACCATGAGGGCGAGGGCGCAGTCGCGTGTCATTGGTCCGCGTGAGCAGGTGGTGAAGATCGAGGATAGTGTGTGCGGCGTCGACATCATCTGCTGGCGGTACTGGTGCAGATGATGGGGCCTACAGGCAGACGTAAGCAAGCGCATACACGGGCGTAAAGGATGCGGACACTTACGGGAAGATGTGCGGGTTGTTGATCAGCGCAGGAAGATGATGGATCACGCTCCCGTCATCCCACTCCCAGCCCAACACGACCTCTTCATGGGCCTTCAGGTCCCGTAGCGCGAATATTCCAAAGGTCAGCGCATCTTCGTCATCGGGCTCGGCGTCATCGTCGATGTGCTGAGCAGACATACTTCGCTTCTGGCGAGGGCACAGCACAGGTCGCAGGATGGCGTTCGGCCTGCAGCCGCTGCGCACAAAACGACTCTAGTTTCCGGTCTGCCGTGGAAGGGCCGCGCGTGGGAGGTGCGCCTTGTCTCGTGAGTAGTCTCGTTCGCGCGCATCATCCCGTGAGGTGCGACTCGCAGGATGAGCATCATACTCGTCGTGTCCGCGATGTGAGCGAGAAGCACGTCCATGATGTGCATCCTTCTCAACACCCCTCTCGCGCTCGTGCGGTCCCATTCAGGACGGTCTCTGTCTGCCGATGGGCCTCGAGGAACGCCGGGGGGTGCACGGATAGAAAGCGTAGGTGGATACGTAGGGTAGTTCGATGTTCGCAAAGAGCGTGGGCCGCTGGGCAACGGGCGCGACGGAGGGGCAGTATTCTGCATGGCGCGATGCGGCGCTGAATAGAGGGGGCGGCATGGAGGAAGGTGTGACGGCTCGGCGTCGCTCGAGTGAAACGATCGCGGGTGCGTTGGAGGCGACCGAGAACGTGCCAGGTAAGCCTTCGGAGGCGGCGGACTGAGGATCTCGCCGTCCTCTTGTATTGTGCGATGGGCAGGCTCTTGAAAGCGGATCGGGAGTGTTTTGGGATCAGTGCTGATGGTGCCTTCATCGGGAGATGTAGAACACTTTGAGGTCTCGCTTGGCGGAGGCGGGGGCTCTGGGGGGAGGGGCGTCAGAGAACGTGAACATTTGGCCGCCGCTGCACTAGGAAGGCCTTGTTCGAGCAATTCGACTTTGGCGTGCAGAGACACAGGGGTGGAAAGACGTGTGTTTAAGTCTTCAGGCAGATCGACAACGCGAGCCCGTTCTTGGACTGGGAGCGGGGATGCCTCACGCGTTGGCATGGGGGTGGGGTCCGGCGCTGTACACAAGCCGGCAGAAGGAATAGCGCAATTAGGAGATGCTAGAGGCACCTGCTCGTGTGCACGGATGTCCGGCGACTCCACTGCACGCGTCACGTCGTTGGAGCTCGCGTGCTCCAACGGGGTGGGAGCAGCTGACGGGGACGTCTGCTCCTGCCGTTGCGTCTTGCATCGCATCTCGAAGTCCTTCAAGGACATCTTGACCTTCGGCGGCAACGTGACAGCCGGTAAAGAAGGTGTAGGCGAGGGTGTGTTGTCGACGGATGGCAATGTACCATTAGACACGACAGACTTGACATCCGCCTCTGCCGATGGACGTGTGTCAATAGTGCCGCAATGCAGTTCTACAGACGCAACTGTGTCGGGATGATGTCTCAGCTGCGCGGGCAGGTCGGTGGCATCGACGGGATTAGCGTCATGATTGTCAGAAGAATACTCTGGAGCGGGCGACGAGAACTTGATGGTGACCCTGGAGAGTAGCCGAGGAGACGAGGAGGACAAAGAAGCGGCGGGATCTGCGACAGGAGGCGGCGGCCGGGTATGCATGTCGTCGGTGGGTGTCAGGGTCGGCCCAACAGCAGTGTACGAAAGCTGATGTAACGACGGCTCGGCAGGGACGGGTTGCGGTAATACATGCACATTAGCGGAAGCAGGAGAGGACGAGCGACGACTAGCAGAGGAGAGCAGAGGAGAACGAAGGAGGCGAGGCGAGAGAAGGCGAAAGCAGCGATAAGTTGGCGAAAGAAGTCGAAGGGGATATCTGACCATCGTTCGAGGTCAAGTTAAGCAGCGCGCGGGCGGGCGAGGTGGAGGAAAGAATAGAAAGTCGGGAGCTCAGTGACTGATGCGAGACAGCGTGAGGTAGGGGCAAAGGCGGTGGGGGCATCTCGCGCGGATCTAGGAGCGGCGACATGCCGTCAGTGCATGGTCCGGACGACATCAGTCGACTGGACTCACCAAATGCGACTTCATCCATGTCCATCCGCGTATCATCGTGCTCGCCTGCCGCGCCCACCTCGTTATGAGAAAATGTTAGCGCGTCTCCCGCATCGCGCTGGTAGACACCTCGCAGCGTCTTGAAACTTCCTGATCCAACCCTTACGGAGCTTAGGCGGCAAGCACTCCTCCTTCTCCTGCTCATCGATCTCCATCGCGTTGTCTTTGTCCTCTAGTGTAGTGGGTACGGCTCCGCTTTTGCCCTTGCGATCCCTTGCGTGATGAGCTGGCGGCACAGAAGACGCACGCGGTGCAGCCTATGTCTTCGACTCGCGCTCAGATTGTGTGACGGCGCGTCCATGCCCTGCGAAACGTCCGATGTCTGACGATCCTGCAGTCGCGGCGCAACAAGGGCGCGTGGGGGCGGGACTATCTCGACGCCCGTCATCCCGCCCGACAACGGCACTTGCTCGCGCGTCCTAAAGCCCCGCTCGCGCCCGGCCAGAGGATCCAGGTCGACGCGCCGCATGATGCCTCTTCCTTCGCTTGCTTCTCCCGCGCTCGTCGGATGTCCGACTCGATCCTTTCTCGGATGGCGAGCTTGGCAACACGCTGGCAGATTTCCGTCAGATCAGCATCAGAGAAACTGTGCGTGTTCCTTGCAAGGACGCCAAGGACGAGATTAGGTTTGACGCAAACCGCATGGGTTGGAGTGCTCAGAGCGAAGCGGAAGTTCTCCATGGTAATATCGAGTGAGTCGAGCACCTCTGTATCGATGATTTTCCCGTCAAGGTCCATGAGGTCCATCTTCTCACAGATCTGCTGCATGGCGGCCTCCGAGCACAAAGGTGCGAGATCTGACCCGACGTAGACTTGGGCGTGCGCCGCGATCTCTGAGGAGTGACATCATTAATATACGCGGAAAACAACGGCTGCTAGGACATACCTGCTCGACATCGACATCGCCACCTGGCCTCATGTTCTTCATGTGAATGCGAAGAATATCAAACGGCTAGTGGGGTCAGGGATGCGATCTCACAGTCGAATCAGCCAAAGCGAAGAAGAGCAGGGTCGATAGAGTTCAGTCGGTTAGTAGCGGCCATAGCCACAGTGTCAGACCGCGCTTTCAGACCGTTCATGAGCGTCGGCAGCTGAGAAACAACACGGTGTTCCACTTCTCTGTTGGTCTGGGGCATGCAATCAGCTTCCTGACCGTTGTGCAGGCTATTTAGCATGACGTACCTATTCACGTTTCGGTGCAATAGAGTCAGTCTCATCAATGAAAAAGAGAGTCGGTGAGTTCAAGCGCAGGTGGCAAAAGTCGAGGACAGCGTGCGCAGCATCGACGTCATCTGCTGGTAGGTACTGGTGCAGCTGATGGGACCTACGGGCAGATGTGAGCAGGCGCATACACGGGCTTAAAGGACGCGGACACCTACGGGAAAATGTGCGGGCTGTTGATCAGCGCTCGCAGATGGTGGATCACACTCCCGTCATCCCACTCCCACCTCCTCATGGGCCTTCAAGTCCCGCAGCGCTAATATTCCAAAGGTGAGCGCGTCCTCGTCCTCGGGCTCGGCGTCGTCCTCGACGCGCTGAGCAGACATACTTCGCTTCTTGCGAGGGCACAGCACAGGTCGCAGGATGGCGTTCGGCCTGCAGCCGCTGCGCACGAAACGACTCTGGTTTCCAGTCTGTCGTGCATCGAGGGCGAGGTCGAGGGGAGGGCCGATAAGGTGGACAAAGGGCTTTGGCATACTGAGGTGGGCGTAGGCGTTCAGGGGGTCGGACAGATAAGCGGTAGAGGGGGTGATGGTGGACGTGAACGGGGTGATGAAGGACGAGGAGGGGATAGAACGAGCAGCGTGGACGGCGTAAGAAGGGGGGCGGAGGGAAGGGTCGACGCTCAAGGAGAGGGCGGAATGGAACGCGGACCTCGTGAGGGGAGTGAGATGGATGGGCGAAGACGAGGGAAAGCCGCCGGGCGTCAACAAGACGGGCGTCGTGGTGGGGGACGTCGTTGTCGAGGATTCGTCCTCGAGGGCAGTCACGCCTCGCCACTGAGCCGCGGCACGGCGTAGCCTCTCGCGGGTGTCGTCGTGGGGGATGATGTCATTCTCGCCCGTCGGCTGCACGTTGATGAACGGCCTCCTTCTCCGTTTGCTCTGGCGGCCGCCGTCTATCGCTGCTGCGCTTGCCCGTCGCGCCCTCCTGTCCACGCCTGGACTGCTGACTCGCTGCTTCTGCCTATCGAGGTCGAGCGCGGCTCTCTGGCGCGCCTTCTGGATGCAGACGGCGTGGTTTCTGTCGATGGCGCGGGGGTTGCAAACCTAGCACTGGCATTCCTCTGGGACCTGAGAGTCGACGATCCTGAAGCAGGCTGCATGGTACCAGGGCGCGAGTAGCTAGGGCGCGATACTTGATCTCGCATAGGATGCCCGCCGTCTTGTCCCATTCTACGCTGACGTGAACGCCGTCAGGACGTCTGCTCATCGAAGACATGGTGAGCAGGCGACATACATACATGGTTGCTACTCTTTCCAGCCGCACCGGCGGCACGCTCACGCCCACTCATGGTAAGGAGGCGTGTTGTGGCAGTACTGAGAGTTCTTGCCGTCTTGAAGACCGTAGGACGTCAGTTGCGCGAGCTAGAGGAGGTCTGCGCGCGACAATGGTGACCTTACCTCTGGGTCAACCAGGCAGCGTGTATGCGTCGTCCAGATAACGCGAATGCTGCGCCGTTGCTGCGAGGAAAGCCCTGTGCCCGCGCAGGCAGTCTTGCAGCTCCGCGCACCCGCTATGTCAGTGATTCGAGAAGAGTAGTTCTGACCTCAATATTTCGCAGCGGAAGGACGACGCTTCCGGGCTGTTGAGCGTGATCGTGCCGATCGCGATTGAGCCTGGCGCCGATGAAGACCAAATAGGGAAGCGCGGCCAGACAAAGGGCCTTTAGATACG